CATACAATTTTTGTTTATGGTTATCCAACATCTGCATTTTTTACTTTTTAAGTAAAACCTAGATATTAACACAAGCTTAATTATTTGGTGAATTACAGTTTTAAATATGCATGTTATTGGCTTAAGCAACTATATCTGTTCATTAAAAAATGACTAATTTTTTTAAAACAATACGTTCTTCATTTGTTTGACACAAAAAAATTTATTTCTACTCATTTCAAAACTCTTTTGAATATATGTGAGAAATAATGGGAATTATTTAAGTACTTTCTGGCATGTAAAACATTCTGTATAACCACACTGATTAACCTAATGTTGTTTAAAACAAAGTAATACTTTGATTTAATAGAACTGTTCTATACATTTATTTAAGTAAACTGTGAAACATTTGGTATCTGAACTCATCAGACCAGTTAAGTGTTGGTTGGCTACCATTCAAAGAGTCTTCACGTGATTACATAAAACACTAGTGTTTGAAAGGAACTTGAATGCTGTGAAAGTTGTTGTTGGAAATGAAACAACTGGTGTGATTCTCATTGGGCAACTATGACTAAAAATGGAACTTAACAGTAGTAGTTTTTAACTAGGTTTTATTACACTGTTGATATAGGTATGTGACCCCTATATGGGTGCTGGGATGCCAAGTTCAAGAGATTTTTTTTATCACTCCTAGTGGTCTGCAACTCATTTTAATTTTGTAATTCAGTTTCATAAGAAGCAATAACCTCCCCAAATCTGGCTACAGACAGAGAAAGGCAGTTTTAAATATGGATGTTATTAGCTTATCACAACATAGTTTGTACCATAGCTATATTTGTCTGTCTTTTATCACAACATAGTTTGTACCCTAGCTTTATTTATCTGTCTTTCATGACAACATAGTTTGTACCCTAGCTTTATTTATCTGTCTTTCATGACAACATAGTTTGTACCCTAGCTTTATATGTCTGTCTTTTATCACAAATTCGTTTGTGTCATAACTTTATTTAACTGTCTTTTATGACAACATAGTTTGTATCCTAACTTTATTTATGCACATCACTTGCTTTTTTTGGTCTTGTTGTCTAAAATTCTACAAATAGTAGAAATAATTGCAAGTATTTCTGAAATATATGTGTAAAGGTGTTTTCAGATGAACATAGTAATTCAAGAGACCATGAGAAGTTTTTCGAGGAGCTTGGATCAGGGTCCCCTGATGATGTTAAGGATGCAGAGGAGGAAGCAGAAGATACAGACCATGAACGTGCAGTGGAGAGAGAAATTACTTTACACAAGTATAAACTGGTTGAGACTTTAACTTTTAGCACTAGCTTAAGTTTTTCATCATCTTCTCCACAAGTTTCATACTTTAACTCTTTGTAGGTAAAGCCACACCTGTAAGGCTGAGAAAGGTTATTGTTCATTTGAGGCATTATGGGATATGTTCTGAAATGATCCATTAAATTTTCTAGAGTTTTAGTGGTTAGACGGATAATAAAGAAGTAATAGAGAATGGGAATCTTTGAACAAGTTCTAAACTGTTTATTAACTTCAGTGGGATTGTGTCTGTAGCTTCAATAGTACAACTTGAGTTTATGTAACTAATCAGAAGGATATTGCACTACAAGTATGAAATGTTATTTAACACTATAAACTTCAGTAAAGAGCTAATACTATAAAGTCTTGATTGTAAAGATGACAATTTCTCTTTACTGAATGGGAAAATGCTAAAATTAGATTGGATCCTATTCTAACATAACTTAAGTTTGAAGTTAGCTGTAAGTGATTTTATTATATAGATAAACTGTTGTATCACAGTGAAGTTATTAACGTACAGATACTAATGAGTATTGATTTATGATAATCAAAATAAAGACTATTTGTGGATTCATTTATTTGTTTTTGTGATTTTGTTATTATGTAAAGGAAACCATTCAAAATTTCTTCATATATATTATTTTAGTTTCCATGTTAATATTGAAATCTTGTGTAACAACAAATTCTGTTTAAAAAAGTTGTTAGCTGTTAGGGCCTTTTTTAGTAATCATAAAAACGAAAAGTAGTGCTTCATTGTTTCTTAGATGAATTATAAATACTCATGTTTTCAAACGAGACCCAAAACTGATCCTGTGTGCTAACTTATTAACCAGAATTTATAAATACTCATGTTATTATCATGGTAACACTCATTTTGTGTGTGATTGTGCAGAATCTGGGAAGAAGATGGTGAAGTGAATATTGAAAAGATTGCTGAACGTCCACTGAAGCAGGAAAACCTTGAGTCTGGGGTATATGTTTAATTCTTAATTTAAGTCTATGATATATGTTGATATTGTTACACTCATTTAAATCTGTGATATACATTTGTGTTAAGGTCTTGATATTTGTTGTTAATTCATGTAGTACATGTTTGATATTTCAATGCAAGGATTAAAATCCCAAATATATATATATATATAAAAGTAACAACAAGACATATACTTGTAAAATAGATTTATAAATAGACACTTTCAATGCAAGGATTAAAGTCCCAAATATATATATATATATATAAGTAACAACAAGACATACTACTACCATAGATTTATAAATAGACACTTTCAGTGCAAGGATTAAAGTCCCAAATATATATATAAGTAACAACAAGACATATACTTGTAAAATAGATTTATAAATAGACACTTTCAATGCAAGGATTAAAGTCCCAAATATATATATATATATAAGTAACAACAAGACATACTACTACCATAGATTTATAAATAGACACTTTCAATGCAAGGATTAAAGTCCCAAATATATATATATATATATATATATAAGTAACAACAAGACATACTACTACCATAGATTTATAAATAGACACTTTCAGTGCAAGGATTAAAGTCCCAAATATATATATAAGTAACAACAAGACATATACTTGTAAAATAGATTTATAAATAGACACTTTCAATGCAAGGATTAAAGTCCCAAACAGATGTACAAGTGACAACACAGACAAATACTGGTACCATAGATTTATAAATAGACACTATCAGTGCAAGGATTAGAATCTCAGAAATATGTAGAAGTCTTTGTACTCAGTCTGTGTTATGAAGTCCTTATATTCAATCTATGGCATGTTTGTGTGTGTCATCAATCCTTTCATTCAGTCTGTGATCTATCTGTATGTTTTATCACATTGTTTATGTGTGATCAATTTTTTATTTTAGTTTTGCATTCAAAGCTGTCTATAAACTTAAGGCAGTGTTTGAAATTTTGATACCTACTTATATTTTTATCTTGTACAAAACTGTAACTTGTTGTTATACTACTAAAGAAGAAGAATTTTTTAAGGATAAAATAATTAATAATTAATAAAAAATCTTAATTAATGTTAGTATACTTTACGTACTATCAAACATATATTAGTATAAATATACAATGTTTAAGAGATAGGATTTATCAATATTATAGTACTGAATTAACATTTAACATTTTGATTACCGAGATCTTAATTTGCAGCTAATTTGTTTGGAAAGCCTTGTAATGTGTTGTTCACCTTCATACAACTGTGTGACTTTCTTTTCACTGCATTAACAGAACTGTTTCATGTTGGATGGTGGAGTTAGTGGACTGTTTGTGTGGGTAGGGAAAGAGGCAAGCCCCAAGGAGAGACAGGAGTCTATGACTATGGCAGAAGTAAGTGTCATTTAATGTTATACGTTTAATGGATCATGATCAGTGAACTGGGTCTTTGTTAGTTCATATTTCACAGAGTCACACAAAGTAATACAAAACAAATTAAAAACTAAGATTCTAGAATAGCTCAGACAATTTCCAGAATTATCTTCCAATCTCCAGGTGTTGAGAGGAAGTTTCTGGACAAAAAAGGAATCGTCTCCCAAAGAAACGTTTTGTGCTAGGATTTCTAATAAGATTATATCATTAAGGAAGTTTGTAAGTGAGACACTCGGGTACATATTACTTGTTTCAATGAAATTTATCTCAAGCCTCAACATGTGAATAATAATGCCCTCTGTTATTTGTGAACTCATCATTTCTTTAGATTTAAGAACCAGATTACAACTTTACAATTATTGTATATAGTTTATAAATCTACTTGTCCTCGATATCAGAAAGGCTGTATTGGTTCTACTAAAAGAAAACTGTTAAAAAAATTAAAGAAATGCTTACCTAAAATCCCCCATTAAATTAAGTGTACTTGAACATGCTCTAAGGGAATATGACATTGTTATTCATTCCAACTGGATTAAGATCTTAGTAAGGGTCACTGATGGATAGAGCCTCTTAACAAAAGAGAACTTATTTATAACCTGAAGCCTGAGATAAACATAGTTGTACTCAGTTACTTCTATTGGTATAAAAATGTAGTCTGAGTGCACAAATAGATAATAATGTGATCCATCAATACTGCATTGTTATAGAGTTTTATCTTTTTCTTGATAAGTTTGTTTATTATATTTGGTTATTGTCTCATTATTTTTTAATATACGAGATTTAATACTTTATTCTAGAAATACTTGGAAACAAGGGGATACCCATCCTGGACATCTGTAACCAGGATCATTGATGGTGGTGAACCACCAATGTTTAAACAGTACTTTTCTTCTTGGCACGAACCAGAGGACCAGGTCGGATTAGGCCGTGTCTACAAGGCTGAGGAAATAGCTGGTATGCTGCCTTTTTTTACATTAATTAAACGTTAGAGCTATAGTTATAGACTTACAGTAACATGTAATGCTCTTTGGAAGTAACTTGTTTCTCAAGCAAACAATTCATAAGTTGTTTTAAAGACTTCTTAACCATTGCTGGGATCCAGTAATTTCTTTTTCACTAGCATTTCTACAATTCATTCATCCTGGTGAAAACCATGAAATTCTTCATACTAATGTTGACTGAATTCAAAGAAAGGTATTAAACCCAAATTCTTTAGTATAGGTACAACTTTAGATTTCTCCATACTAATGTGGACTGAATTCAGAGAAAGCTATTAAAATCTAATTCCTTTAGTAAAGTACAATATTTTTTCCTTTCAATTTTCATTAATTCATAAGTTTACTAATAGTGATGATAGTCTTAAAAACACAGATTGATTTTCATAATCCATCTTTCCTGTAATAATCCAGCAACTGGGGATGAAGAATTTGACATCAACTCACTACACAGAGAGAAGCGTAGACTTTTAGCTAAGAGTTTGGGAAAAGCTTGTGGATTTATGCCAGATGATGGATCTGGACAGATAGAGGTAGGCTGATGTCTAATAGATTGCCTCGTGCTATGTATTATACAGTGAGGTTACTTTAGTTTGATGAGTTAAGCTGTAGAATAATGGTACTTATCTATTGATAAAGTTGTTTATTATACAGTGAGGTTACTTTAGTTGGATGAGTTAAGCTGTAGAATAATGGTACTTATCTATTGATAAAGTTGTTTATTTTTACAGTGAGGTTACTTTAGTTGGATGAGTTAAGTTGTAGAATAATGGTACTTATCTATTGATAAAGTTGTTTATTATACAGTGAGGTTACTTTAGTTGGATGAGTTAAGCTGTAGAATAATGGTACTTATCTAGTGATAAAGTTGTTTATTTTACAGTGAGGTTACTTTAGTTGGATGAGTTAAGTTGTAGAATAATGGTACTTATCTAGTGATAAAGTTGTTTATTATACATTGAGGTTACTTTAGTTGATGAGTTAAGCTGTAGAATAATGGTACTTATCTATTGATAAAGTTGTTTATTTTACAGTGAGGTTACTTTAGTTGGATGAGTTAAGTTGTAGAATAATGGTACTTATCTAGTGATAAAGTTGTTTATTATACAGTGAGGTTATTTTAGTTGGATGAGTTAAGCCGTAGAATAACGGTACTTATCTATTGATAAAGTTGTTTATTATACAGTGAGGTTATTTTAGTTGGATGAGTTATGTTTCATAATACTAATATTTCTGCAAATAGATATTTACAAAATCTTTTTATTTCAGATCTGGAGAATTGAGAATTTTGAGCTGACACCTGTAGACTCATCAATTTATGGTTTTTTCTTTGGCGGGGATAGCTATGTTCTTAAATATACTTATGAAAAGGAAGGACGAGAAATGTACATCATTTACTTCTGGCAGGTAGGTACATACCTTTATTTCTACTTCATCTTCTTCAGTAATGGTTTTCATCACACCATTACTGGTAAAACATTCTCTTTGTTTCAGTATACTGCCACTGTTCATTGTAAATTTTAACTTTACTGATTTTTTAGAAATTTATTCTATTTATAACTGTGAGGTGGTGTGTAACAGAGTGGTTAGTACACCGAACCGTGGATCTGAGAGTCAATGTTTGTGTCCTGTTACTACAAAAAACAGAAAAAAATGATCATATTCTTCAGTTTGCAGCTCTGGTTGTGAAACAAGAATGACAGTTGAAACCTATTATTTCATTTGAGTAGCCAAAGTGTTGCTAGTTAGTATTTGCCTTCTCTCTAGTCTATCAGTTCAAAATTAGGCACAGCTAGACCTTTATGCAAATATCTGAAAGAAACAAACTATACATGTGATTTAACACTAATTAAACTATGTTTATGGTAATTTTTAAAGTTTGTTTGTATTTCATAATTACTTGTATAAAACAGTTTGTGGTTTTACTCTTACTTTTTAAATCTTTTTTGTTTGAAAGATTTGAGAAATAAAACGACTTCCATGTTGAGTAACATGTTTTAGCTCTTTATAATTCATACAAAAAAATATTTTATGTTTCTTCTTCTTAAGTACTTGAGAAATTAAATATTTATTTCTTTCACTAGGGACTCAATAGTTCACAGGATGAGAAAGCCGCTTCTGCCATTCTGGCGGTACAAATGGATAATGACTTAGCAGGAAAGGCTGTTCAAGTAAATATATATATATATATATAAATTATTATTTTTTGCAAAAAACAAGTGTAGCGGGCAATGTGGTCATACAGAATGTTATAAAAGAGGGGGGAGGATCATTACTTTCTATACAAACAAGTGTAGCATGCAGTAGATATTTCATGATTATTTATTACCAATACACTGTTCATATTTCTATGTGTTTGTTACTGTTAAATTCCTATTTATACCAATATGGATATATTGGATTCTTGTCTTTCCTAATGCTTGATTCAGATGTCTCATATAAACCTTCTGTATACTAATATTGAAATATTATTGAGATATTGTATTGTTGTAATATTTGATTCAGATGTCTCATATAAACCTTCTGTATACTAATATTGAAATATTATTGAGATATTGTATTGTTGTAATATTTGATTCAGATATCTTATATAAACCTTCTGTATACTAATATTGAAATACTATTGTGATATTATATTTCCTAACCTTTTTTGTTTTCACTTAGGTTTGAGTTGTCCAAGACAATGAACCACAACATTTTCTACCTTCTTCTTTCTACTTAGGTTTGAATTGTCCAAGACAATGAACCACAACATTTTCTACCTTCTTCTTTCTACTTTGGTTTGAGTTGTCCAAGACAATGAACCACAACATTTTCTACCTTCTTCTTTCTACTGTGGTTTGAATTGTCCAAGACAATGAACCACAACATTTTCTACCTTCTTCTTTCTACTGTGGTTTGAATTGTCCAAGACAATGAACCAGAACATTTTCTACCTTCTTCTTTCTACTTTAGTTTGAGTTGTCCAAGACAATGAACCAGAACACTTTCTACCTTCTTCTTTCTACTTTGGTTTGAGTTGTCCAAGACAATGAACAACAACATTTTCTACCTTCTTTTTTCTACTTTGGTTTGAGTTGTCCAAGACAATGAACAACAACATTTTCTACCTTCTTTTTTCTATTTAGGTTTGAATTGTCCAAGACAATGAACAACAACATTTTCTACCTTCTT